AGTCCTCACCCCACCAGACAAGCAGCAGTTTGCTTCCTAAGGACTTCCCCTGGCTACAACTACATTCCAGAATAATAACTGAAAGGACATTAAGTCTCTCTCATCTTTTTGTTTGTTTTATAGAAAGGAAAACAGACCTAGAGAAGGGACTTGATTTTCTCTAGATCACAAATCAATTTGGTGGTGATAGATCTAGAACTAGGCTCTTTTGAGTGTGCCCCTCACTTCCAGGTTAGAAGGAAGCCTTTTTAGTGAGTCTTACTCCTCTTTGAGCCATCCCGGGTGAACTAGGTCATGTTCATTTACCATCAACTGAATACCCCATCCCCCCCAATCAGCCTTGAAACTGGAGGAGCTGATCTGTTGTGCAACTATTTTTCAGGGAGCTGTGTTCACTCTGGCCAACTTTGAGCTATTTTAGGGTTGCCCTGCCCAGCTTAGTGTGTGTCAGTGGGTGAGCAAGACATGTGCCTCTGGAGACACAGTAGCATAGCCTGTGTTGGCTTACACGTGTCCTGGGATCCTCCCTTCTCTCACCCCGCCCATGGCCGGCCAAACTAGGTGCTTGGCAAAGGCGTGGCAGGCAGGTCACCTTTTTCTCCTGCTGATGCCACGGGAACATAGCCACCTGGTTAGCAAGCAATCAGATGGCCAAAGTCCTGGAGTGGCTAGAGAGCCAAGGTCATTGTCACCAGACAGAGATCTGGAGGGCCGGACAATTTGTCCTTCACATCCACCTCCTGCAATGTGCACTGCTGTTTCCTGGATTCAGAGGAAGAGTCCCCTCGGACTGGGGGCTATTGGAGGCCAGGGGAACTGGACCGGGCAGGTTTGGTACCTTCAGAGAATATGTCTTCCACTTTGGGGGGAATGTGACTTTAAATTTCCACAGTCCCCCACGCTGCTCGCTGTTGGCTAGCTGCCCCTCCATGGCCTCATCCCTGGAATGGTCTTCTGTTAAAATCGGCAGCTGTTTATTTTGGAAGACGAGGCCTTATGAATGGGTCTCAGCTGCTCTTCCCATCCTTAGGTCTGCCCCGGACAAGTCATTAGCTGTAGTCAGTTTCCAAGGAAGGCTTCCAGGGCAGAGGGAGGGGGCACATGTGTGAGATGACCACAGGGGTCGCACACCCAAGGCCGAAGCTGAGTGTACTCTGCAAAGGGTCGTGGTGGTTGATCGGCTCTGCCATATCTAATATGTGTTGGGGGTCGCCTATGGTGGCTCTTCTGGGGTGCCACATGATTAACTTCTGGTTTGGGGGAGACGGGGGTGATGAGCAGGGTGGTGCCCTGAGACCATAGACATACGGCAGCTGACATCCCCTCCCCCTGTGTTCTATCGCCAGGTGGCGTCATCACCTACATTGGTTCCAGCGGCTCTTCCCCGAGCCGCACCAGCCCCGAGTCCCTCTACAGCGACAGCTCGAATGGAAGCTTCCAGTCCCTGACCCAAGGCTGCCCCACCTACTTCCCACCATCCCCCACTGGCTCCCTCACCCAGGACCCAGCTCGCTCCTTTGGGAGCATCCCACCCAGCTTGAGCGATGATGGCTCTCCCTCTTCATCATCTTCATCGTCCTCCTCCTCCTTCTATAACGGGAGCCCCCCGGGTGGTCTACAAGTGGCCCTGGAGGACAGCAGCCGCGTGTCCCCCAGCAAGAGCACCAGCAGCATCACCAGTGAGTCCATTTCCACGTGATGGAGGAGAGGAGGTGGCAGACCTAGGTCGGGAGTGGGTGTCCACGTGAAAGTTATTGGCCTTGGAGACTTCTAGAGCTGCATCAGCTGCTGCTGAGCCCAATCTGGTCATTTGAGTGCCCCCTAGATACCTGGGCTCCTCCTCAGATTTTCCCCAGAATCTCCAGCCCAGAAAACCTCCATCTCTGACCACTCAGACATCCCTCCTGCTGACTTGCGGCCCCTCTCTTCCCACAGAGCTCAACGGCATGGTGCTGCTGTGTAAAGTGTGTGGAGACGTTGCCTCGGGCTTCCACTACGGTGTGCACGCCTGTGAGGGCTGTAAGGTGAGGCAGGCTGGGGGAAAGGCCAGGGCCGGTGACCCGCTCCCCCAGGACGCACAGGCCTGGCCTGGATGGAGACGCTCACTCGCTGCCCCTGCCGTCTAGGGCTTTTTCCGCCGGAGCATCCAGCAGAACATCCAGTACAAAAGGTGTCTGAAAAACGAGAGCTGCTCCATCGTCCGCATCAATCGCAACCGCTGCCAGCAGTGTCGCTTCAAAAAGTGTCTCTCCGTGGGCATGTCCAGAGATGGTGAGGCAGCACGGTTGCCCCTCGAGCATTCCCCTTCTGTTTCCGAATGAACCCCTCCCTGGAAAAAGTCCCAAACTGAGGCACATTATCTGGGAGTGCCATTTGCATAGGGGATGCCCATACTCCATCCTCAGGGGTAAACACAGTTTCTTAGTCCCTCTGGTCACCTCCTAGCATAATCCCTACTTGGAAAACCCCTCCATGGTGCGGCCTTGCTGGTTTTAGTTTTGATGTGGAACCCCAAGCCCCAGGGTCTCGCCCTCTCAGGAGGAAGGAAGGAAGAGAAGCATGTGAGTGTGTATGAAAACTTCCTGACACTGCTCTCATCCTGTCACAGCTGTGCGTTTTGGGCGCATACCCAAGCGGGAGAAGCAGCGGATGCTCGCCGAGATGCAGAGCGCCATGAACCTGGCCAACAACCAACTGAGCAGCCAGTGCCCGATGGAGACCTCGCCTGCCCAGCACTCAGCCCCAGGCCCCATGGGCCCCTCACCACCCCCCGCTCCAGCCCCCTCACCCCTGGTGGGCTTCTCCCAGTTCCCACAACAGCTGACACCGCCCCGATCTCCAAGCCCGGAGCCCCGAGTGGAAGATGTGATATCCCAGGTGGCCCGGGCCCACCGGGAGATCTTCACCTATGCCCACGACAAGCTGAGCTCACCTGGCAACTTCAATGCCAACCACGTGTCAGCCAACCCGCCGGCCACCACCCCGCATCGCTGGGAAAGCCAGGGCTGCCCGCCTGTTCCCAACGACAACATCATGGCCGCGCAGCGTCATAACGAGGCCCTGAATGGTTTACACCAGGCTCCCTCCTACCCTCCCACCTGGCCCCCTGGCCCTGCCCAGCACAGCTGCCACCAGCCCAACAGCAATGGGCACCGTCTCTGCCCCACCCATGTGTACCCAGCCCCAGAAGGCGAAACACCTGCCAACAGTCCATGGCAGGGCAACTCCAAGAACGTCCTGCTGGTGAGGGCACCAGGGGTGAAGTGGGCAGGGGGCCTGCAAGACTGGATTTAGCACAGGCAGCTGGGTGTGCCCGGAGGCTAACGCCAGAATAGCCTCTTCCCCGGGGAGGATGCTGAGCCCTGTAGCGAGGGCTCTGCCTGGGGAATCCCTCCTCTGCACCTGGGCCCTGCTCGCTACTTCACCTGACAGACCCATCCTCTCGGCCACGGCCTCTCACCCGGGCCAAATCACGGGCCCACACCTGTGGGGGGAGCTCATCTGAGCTAGCCCGGCTGATCCTCCCCTCCCCCAACCCCTTCCTCCTCCAGGCATGTCCGATGAACATGTACCCGCATGGATGCAGCGGGCGAACCGTGCAAGAGATCTGGGAGGACTTCTCCATGAGTTTCACACCCGCTGTGCGGGAGGTGGTAGAGTTTGCCAAGCACATCCCAGGCTTCCGTGACCTTTCTCAGCACGACCAGGTCACTCTGCTGAAGGCTGGCACCTTTGAGGTGAGTGACCCTTGGTGCTCCCCACCCTTGACCTTGGGAAGCACCAGCAGGAAATTTGGCTTCCGGGGCAGGCAATGTCTGTGAAAGGCTTTGGAACCCCCAGACCTTTGTCCTTAGACTCTGACCGAGGAGGGAGGGGGCAGGACGTCTCTCACTCCTGCCTCAGGAGGCTGGGCCCTCTGCCTTCTCAGCTGGGGTCTAGTCACATCCCGTTGCCTTACAATAACCCTTCAGGGCACATGGCTACCCCCCATTGGAGGCCAGAGCAAATTAGCTTTGGTGAAGTGACTTGCCCAAGACTCTGATTGAGGCCTGTTGGATTTCAAAGCCAGTGTGGGGTGTCCTCCATCCTCCCACCTCCAGTCCCCATTAGGAAATCATCCCCACTCTTTCCTGAGAAACCCAGTAAGCCCTCCCGAGAACTGCAGGGGTGACTCGGCAAGTGCTGCCGCCGGCACCTCACCCAGGATGCCTTCCCGCTCTAGGTGCTGATGGTGCGCTTCGCGTCGCTGTTCAACGTGAAGGACCAGACAGTGATGTTCCTGAGCCGCACCACCTACAGCCTGCAGGAGCTCAGCGCCATGGGCATGGGCGACCTGCTCAACGCCATGTTCGACTTCAGCGAGAAGCTCAACTCCCTGGCGCTCACGGAGGAGGAGCTGGGCCTCTTCACCGCGGTGGTGCTGGTCTCTGCAGGTGAGCCAGCTTCCGCCTGCCCTGACCCCGGGGAGGAGGCGGACGCAGTTCGGTTGAACACACCTTTTATGGAGTACCTACTCTAGGCCAGGCCCCGCACCGGGCTCTGGCGATACAGACACGATTCAGACACAGTCTAGCTTGGGAGACAGACTCATGCCCGACTAATAATAAAACAGTGAAATAAGTGTCACAGTAGAAGCATGAACCAAGGGCTTAGGAAGCACACACACAGCTATTTCTGCCTGGGGAGCTGGGGAAGGAGGGGGGACACTTGAGTGGGGCCTCAAAGGACAAGTGAGCTATTGCCAGGCAGAGGTGGGGGAGGGGTGGGAGCGTGGGGGTGAGGGGGAGGCATTCAAGCAGGGGGGAACTATCGAGCAAAAAGCAAGGGAGCCTGGGTAGGATTGGCCTGTTTAGGGGAGGAGAGCGGCCTTATGGGCTGGGAGGTGCCAGCCCAGCTGAGCCCATGCTCCCAGCTCTGGGGCACCTCCTGCTCCGGACAGAGGCCTGGGGGGAGGAGTAATGCTTCCCTCCTCCTCCCTCCCTTGGGCCCTCCGAGGGGCTTCAGGGAGAGGCTGCATTGCCCGAGGCAGCCTCCTGGCAGGCCTCGGGGGGCTCCTGGCAGGCCTCGGGGGGCTCCTGGCAGGCCTCGGGGGGCTCCTGGCAGGCCTCGGGGTCCTCGTCAGAGGAGCTCAGGGAGCTCGTCTCACTGCTGTCGTCTTCCCCACAGACCGCTCGGGCACGGAGAATTCCGCTTCGGTGGAGCAGCTCCAGGAGACGCTGCTGCGGGCTCTTCGGGCTCTGGTGCTGAAGAACCGGCCCTCGGAGACTTCCCGCTTCACCAAGCTGCTGCTCAAGCTGCCGGACCTGCGGACCCTGAACAACATGCATTCCGAGAAGCTGCTGTCCTTCCGGGTGGACGCCCAGTGACCCGCCCGGCCGGCCTTCCGCCGCTGCCCCCTTGTACAGAATCGAACTCTGCACTTCTCTCTCCTTTACGAGACGAAAAGGAAAAGCAAACCAGAATCTTATTTATATTGTTATAAAATATTCCAAGATGAGCCTCTGGCCCCCCCCGAGCCTTCTTGTAAATACCTGCCTCCTGCCCCCACCACCGAACCCCCCCCGCCCCTCCCTATTTAAACCACTCTGTCCCCTCTAATGCTCTCGCCCCCCATTTGTTCTGTTCCTGTCTCAAATCCAATAGTTCACAGCTGAGCTGGCTCCTGTGGTGTGTGCTTGTTGGGGGCGGGGTGGGGCGGGAGTAATGCCAAGGCCGGGGGCACACCTCTCCATCTGGTCAGTTTGGGGGGTGGGTACTCTGCCAGCAGATGGGAGGGTACAGGGAAACAGCACACGAGTCTAAGGGGGGCGCCCACGGGGGTTATTTTCATCATATATTTATTACATAAATATATAGTAAAATAGACGAGCAACAATTACCATAAAAATATCTTTCTTTAAAATCCTGACCCAAAACACAACGGGGTGAAAAATCGCACATAACAGACATACTGATTGTCAACGTGGGGCAGGAGCAGGAGCCCCCCAAGTCACTCCTACTGGCCCCACCCCTGGGGAAGGGAACTACCGCCTTCCCTGTTTCTGGCCACAACCCACCCTCCCCCCACCCCAGCACCAGCTTCTCATACATTCAGTAGCGCCTCCAGGGAAGTGTCCCCCTCCCCCCACCCAGGAGTCCCAGGGCAGGAATTACTGTCCCTACAGAAGGTGTCTGTCACACGCCCTGCCCTCTCCCAGCCCTGAAGACCCGCCACCAGGAGAAGGCATGGGGCTCCTCCGCCCCCACCCTCCCCACGTCTGAGCAGGGAGGAGGCTGGATGAGGTATGTGTGTTATGAGTGATAGGACGGGGAATACTGAGATGGAGAGGCGATGGTGGGGGTGGGGTAGTGGTCATGGCTCTGGCACCCCCTTGTCCTGGCCTGGACCCCTCATTCTAGTCTCAGCAGCCCCCTCCTCCCACCAATACTGCACCTGCTGCCCCACCCTGCCTGCCCTAGTGCCCCGGGCCAATACTGGGGGAGGCATGCTAAGCACCCACGTCTAAGCCGTCCCCCTCATTAGCACCAATGGCCCCCAGGAGAGGGCCCTGTCCCCCACTTCCACAGCAGGGACTGGGACAGCTGCCTCTCTAGAGCAGGTGTGTGGCACTCCTGAGTCCCCCCCCCCAGCTCCTCCCCCACCACATGCACTCACACATTCACACCGAGAAATGCACGCGTACGCCCCACATCACAGAGTGAGGGGGAAGGGTCAGGGCAGGAGTGGGGGGTCACAGCTCATATGATTGGGGTGGGGTAGGGGGATTCCCAAGTGCCTGTAAGAGGCCAAGCCTCCTCCAGGCCTTTTCTCCGCCATGTCCATGGCTGAGAATGGGGAATGGGGGGTGGGGGGCTGGAGGGACGGGGGAGACAGCAGACAGGTCAGGAATTCCACTGGGCCCCTAGGGGTGGGAAGGGGGTACGAGAGGGCTTGCCTATAGGACAGGAGGGATACAGGAATTGGAGCCCCAGGAGAGAGAGAGGGAGAGACAAGACAGCGTGTGCGGCCCGCGTGCCCCAGAGGGCGGGGCAGGCACGCGCACGGTGACCGCACAGGGACAGCGGATGCTCCTCTAGGCCCTCCCCTCCGCCAGCACTGACAGCAGGGGAAGGACACGCCCTGGTGGGCAGCATAGCATTGCCTCTGTGTGTGTGTGTGGTGTGTGTGTGTGTGGGGGGGGGGGGGGGCTGTGGCAGGCTGAGGGTCGGGGTGGGGTGGCAGGTCCCCCACGGCTTAAGACATGTTTGCCCCAGTAGTGCAAAGCGCAGGAAGCCCTGGTACCCCGCCCCCCTCCCCCCTTCCCCATGGCTTCCGGGGGCATCTATGTCCACCCATCCATCCCTGCCGACATGCAGCCCTGAGCCCAGGGCCCTCTGGTCTGGTCCGCCCCTCCCCGCCCTCCCTCCCTGCCCCACCCCCTTCTCCCTCCCTCTCCCTCATCCCTCTCCCCTGCAGAGTGGGCGAGAGCCAAGGGGAGGAGGAGGGTAACTGACCCAAATGCAGACCAACAGAGAGCGCTCCTCGCCACGGAAGGTGGGAGGTGGCTCAAGCCAAAGTCCCTGAATTAGAGAAAAGAGGGGAAACGGTCCCGGGCGGGGCGAGGGGCTGGCTGGCCTAACGAGCTTCTGGGGGGGAAAGGAGGAGCACCAACCGCCCCCTCCCCAGGGGCCGAGCTAAGTGCTATTCATCTAAGCGTCCCGTTGGAGGTGCCTGCCCACCCGGGGTCTGGGTTCGTGCGTAGACGCGGGGGTAGGGACGGGGGAGGGCAGGGGTTAGAGAGAGCCCAGAAGGCATGTGGGAGACAGAGTCCTGAGGGGGGGCGGGGGCCCGGGAGAAGCCGGGGCGCGCACACCCTCCTCGCCCTGGTGCAGAGCATCTGGACTGGAGCTGGGACAGCAGGATGTGAGGAGGGTAGGAGCTTGAGCCACAGTTTTTCCTGTGTGGGTGCCAAGGGGCAGGAGGAGTGGGGCGCGGGGGGGGGGGGGGGGGGTGGACGGGGGAGGGACAGGGAGAGGCCCCCGGGGCTGGGCACTTGAAAGGGGAGAGCTGTGCGGGCAGCAGGGCGGGCAGGCTGGTGAGGGGCCAGCTGGCATCCAGCGTGAGAGGTAGATGGAACTCAGCGGGCACGAGTGGCAGAGAGCAGAGGAAGTCCTGGGGTGGGGGTGCCAAAAGGGGCACAGAGGGTGGGGGCAAGGCAAGGGGCGGGTGGCCAGGACCCTGTTGTGTGAACTCACAGCTCTGATCGGCAGCCCTACCTTTAGGGACCTTGTGTGTGGGTGGGGGGTGGGGGCAGTTCTCAAAGTGCATGGGGGTTGTAGGGGGGCTTCTCCCCTCTGGCCAGCCTCAGTTAATAACTTAATATTATCTCTCTCTCTAGCAATCGTTCGCTCGCTCTCTCTCTCTCTCTCTCTTTTTTTTTAAATTTCTTTTTTCTTTTTTTCTTTTTCTCTCTGTCTAGTTTTTCTTCATTTACCTTCTCCCCTTGCCTGGTTTCCAAAGTGCAGTTAGAATGACTATAATTTTTAACCTCCGGGGGAGGAGCCAAGCCCAGCCCTTCTCTGCACCCAGGCATCTGGGGAAGCGAGAGGCCCTGAGCCTGGAGCGGGAATCTAGGCCAAGGACCTAGACGGGGCCTCTCTCTCTCTCTCTCATGTGTGTGTCGGGGGTGAGCTGAGGGCCTCTCCCCCCGGCTCCACATTTCTGTCCCCTACAGTCAAGATGGCTTGTCCCCTCTTGGCTCTCCCTTCCTTCCCCTGCCTTCTCAGAGGACGGGGCCCACGGTCCCCCCAAGCCAGCCTCCCACACGGTCCTTTCCATAGCCAGTCCGTCTGCGGCCCTGTCCCAGGGCTGGAGGCTCTGGGGAGGGGTGGGGTGGTGCGGGCGTGTGTGGGAGCTGCATCTATCCGAGGGAGGACGAGAGGGAGGAGAGAAGAGGGGTGTGTGGGGGGGTCTCCCTCAGCCCCCCCGGCTCTGCCCCTTCTCTCCAGGCTCCTCCCCACCAGCTCCGCACACCCTCGGGCGCCTGAGGCGTTAGACTTCCTGATCCTCAAAGACCTCGAGGAAGAGAGGGGGGAAGAGTTCGGTGGGGCACTCGACTTTCATGTGGAGGAAGCGGCTGGCGTGGCAGGCCCCGATCATGCGGAGGTCAGTCACCTTCATCAGCAGCTTGGGCCAGAAGTGCGGAATGTTGTGTTTGCGGTGGTTGACGTAGTGCTCGAACGCCAGCAGGTACGCCTCCTGACTCTTCTCAATCTTGTCCACGCACAGCAGGCCCGAGCGGTCTGTGGGGAGGAGAGGCACGAGGGTGGGAGGGTGAGGGGGGCAGAGGGGAGGGGCGGGGAGTGGAGGAAAACATACGGGGGAGGAGGGCGGGGCCGGGGGGGGTGGGGGGGGAGACATGGGTAGGATAAGGTGATCAGATGTCCCGCTTTTGGCAGGACAAGTCCCGATTGTTAACAATTTCCAAAAACCTTTCCCCCAAAAATAGGGACTTTTTTTTTTTTTTAAAAACGCTGAGGGACGAGTTGTTAAAAATGGGACTGTCCCGCCAAAAGCGGGGCGTCTGGTCACCTTGAGGACAGAGGGACAGACAGGTGCGGGGAGAGGAAACTCAGCAATCGGGCAGGACTGGGGGCAGAGAGAAGGGCGGGGGGGGGGGGCAGAGAGGTGGGTGGGACAAGGGTACAGAAAAGATGAGGGGGCAGAGACGGGAAAGGAGCAGGAGAGGAATCCGGAGGCAAGAGCTGGACCAGGGGAACAGAACCGAGGGGGGGGGGTGACAGAGCAGGGCGCAGGGGACAGAGGATGGGCGGGGCGATGGGGATGGCAGAGGTGAGGCGTGGGCCCCGGAGGTGGGCTGGGGGCGGCGGAGAAGCTGGTGAACGGAGCGACAGGGGGGTTAGGAGCAGCCCTCCCAGCCGGCCAGCAGGTACCTGTCGACATTAGCAGCACGGCCTGCAGCAGAGCCACCTCCGTGTCGTCCAGGTTGAAGGCAGAGAGTGACTTGCCCAACTCGAAGATGGCGTCGGAGACGACGCCCAGGCCGCCATTCTTGAGCTGCTCCCGCTTGACAGCCATCTCCCCGCTCAGCGTCAGGGTGTCGCTCTCGGGGTCGTAGCGGACGGCAGCCCGCAGGGACATGATCTCCATGCAGCACCCCTTCAGGAGGATGATCTGGTCTTCGCAAGGCAGCTGTGGGCGGCAGGGCCGGGGGGACTCAGCTGGCCCTCCCAGGTGTGTCCCCCGGGGGGGGGGGGTGGCCCCAGGAGCTGCCAGGCCACGCCCGGCCTCAACCAGTAACCTGTACTCAGCACAGCTCCCCTCGCGCTGGGCCCCAGACTGGCCCTATTCCACGAAACCCCACAATCACCCAATTACAACTCCATCCCCCCTGCAGGTGAGGAAGCAGAGGCGAGGGAGCTAGGTGACATGGCCAAGGTCATTCAGCTGGTCCGGCAGCCTGGCCCCAGCTGGTGCTCTCTAAGACGAGAACTTACGGGCTGCCTGGAGTTGGGGAGGCCACACAGAGATGGGGCAGAGGGGCTGGGAGGGCTTGAGAGGAGTGGTGAGAACCCTCTGGTTCCTCAGGGATCAGGTAGCCCCGAGTGTGTGTGTGTGGGGGGGAAAGGAGGCGGTGGAGGATGTGGGGTGTGTGTTGATCTAAAGTAAGGTGACCAGCCGGGACCGGTTTGGCTCAATGGTAGAGCATCGGTCTGCGGACTGAAAGGTCCCAGGTTCGATTCCGGTCAGGGGCATGCACATTGGTTGCGGGCACATCCCCGGTAGGGGGTATGCAAGAGGCAGCTGGTCGATGTTTCTCTCTCATCAACATTTCTAGCTCTCTATCTCTCTCCTTTCCTCCTCTCTGTAAAATATCAATAAAATATATTTAAAAAAAATAAAAGAATAAAGTAAGGTGACCAAGATGTCCAGACTTTTAACACTTTGTCCCGCGTCCGGCGGCTTTTTAAAAAAGTCCCAACGTGGGACAAATTGTTAAAAATCGGGACTGTCCTGCTAAAAGCAGGACATCTGGTCACCTTAACCTAAAGGAACCGTTCTCTGCCCGAGGAACTCAGATGAGCCAGTGCCGGGACGGAGTGGCCTGGGGAGCGGGTCCAGGCTTCCCTCCCGGCTGTCACCACGTCTCCCCGCCCCTCGGCTGCTCACCTCGGAGAACATGGGCAGTTTTTTGGCAAAGTCCACCACGCGGGTGATGGCCGGGGTGATGATCTTGGTAAACTCGCTGAAGGCCTCGAGGTCCACCTTGTCCCCGTCCGGCATGGAGACGATGGGTGACTGGCCAATGTCGTCCGGCTGGAGGGAGAGAGCCGGGCAGGGGTCAGCCGGAGGGGGGGTGGGGGCGCAGACCCCTTCCAACCTCCGAGGCTCCCTGCCCACCAGGGGGAGCTCCAGGGCAGCGTGGGGAAGAGGGGCCGCGGGCACCTGGGACGGCTCTAGCCCGGGCCCAGGGCTTCTCCCCCACCTCGGGGCAGAGAACAGACCGGAGCCAGAGCTCCCAGTCTGCTAATAATAACAATGACCATCACCGCGGCAGAAGCAATGGCATAAGAATAGAAGCTGTATTTACTGAGTATTGAATATGTGGCCAGGCTTCGGGCTAAGGCTTTTACACATAGTATCTCATTTAATCCTCACCACAAACCCTGTAAAGAAGGTGTTAGAGCCGAAACCGGTGTGGCTCAGGGGATGGAGCATCGGCCCGCGGACTGAAAGGTCCCAGGTTCGATTCCGGTCAGGGACATGTGCCTCGGTTGCGGGCACATCCCCATTAGGGAGTATGCAGGAGGCAGCTGATTGATGTTTCTCTCTCATCGATGTTTCTAACTCTCTATCCCTCTCTCTTCCTCTCTGTAAAAAAAAAAAAAATCAATAAAATATATATATTTTAAAAGAAGGTGTTATAGTTATCTCCATTTCACAGATGAGGAAACTGAGGCACGGGGCAGCTAACCGATAAGCCCAAGGTCACCACCAGCAAGTTGTAGATCCAGGCAGTCTGATTCCTGACCATGACAGCACACTGTCCCGCCCACTGGCAAACCTGACCGGAGCCACACTGCCAGCTTCCTGCCGCCTCCATCCCCTTGGCATTCGGTTTTGCCAGAGCCTAACACCATGCCCGGCCCCCAGCAGGTGCCCCCAAATACTGTTCCATGACTGTGTCCCCCCTCCGCCCCCCACTCCTCCCAGTTGCTGTGAGCGAAGAAAAGAGGAGAGGTCAGTCCCGCCGGAAATCTGACGAGGAAGGCGAGGCCCTGTCCTCACTCGGCTCCCAATCGGGTGGAATAGGCGGGAGGACCCAGAGGGCAGTCACACACACATACAGGGGTTCACACCACCACCACCAGGGTCTGGGGAGCACCCGCTTTGTGCTAGGGCAAACCGGGAGGGCTTCCTGGAGGCGGCGGCGAGGCTCTGCGCTGGCTCTCCGCTCCCGGCCCCTCGCCCCCTCGCCCCCTCGCCCCCTCGCCCCCTCGCTCCTCACCAGGAATTTCCGCCGCTGCTTCCAGTGGCTGCCCTGGGCGTTGGTGCTGCGGTGGGCCTCCGTGGCCACGTGGATCAGGTCCCACTCCTCCGGAGTGGGCTCCGGCCGCTGCTGCAGGGACCGGATCATCTCCTCCTTCCGCCGCCGCTCCCGGTTCTGCTCGATCAGCTTGCGCTTGGCCACCCGCTTCGAATCGTCTAGGACCACTGTCAACGGGAGGACACGGCCCTTGGCGCGGCTCTTCCCCGGCGCAGGGCGGAACCGGGGGCCACTGCGTGGCACCCCCGGGGCGCGAAGATCACGGGGACAGCAGCCCCCCTTTGGGCCGACCCAGAGGCCTAGCAGGTTCCGGTCCGAAGGGCTACGGCGACAGCCGTGATCCACAGACCCTGCCGACCCCAGGCCACGGAAGGCATCCTCTCTCCCCCAGAAGTGGGGTGTCCCCCCCTGGAGGGGGTGCTCAGGGCTTCTCTCTACCCGACCACTCCCTCTGAGGCCTGGAGCCGTGAGACGCAGGTGAGCACCCAGGGAGGAGGCCCGGGGACCAAGACTCCCAACATCCATTTCACCATCGGCCTCGCCTGCATGGCCCCTGGGCCCTGTGGGCCCTGAGGGTGCCTTGGGAGGGAGCTGGCCCATCTGAGCTCCCCCTCACCCCCCCCCCCCAGCCGCCTGGTCCACCTCCCCTGTCCCCCCCCCCCGCCCCCCTCCGCCCCCTTACAGTCCATGGCCATGCCCACGGAGATGCACTTCTTGAAGCGGCACAGCTGGCACTGGTTGCGGGTGATCTTGTCGATGACACAGCAGCTGTCATACTTGCAGGAGTAGGTGGGATGGAGGTTCTTCTGGATGGTGCGGCGAAAGAAGCCCTGGGGGGGGGGGGAGGGAGGCGGAGCGTGTTGTCATGACGGCCTCCCCTTCCGGGGCGGGCCATGCAGCGCTCTGGGGGCGGGGTTAGTGCGGGAACCTGGCACGCTCCTGGCACAGCGGGCCCAGGACCACCGGGCTCTGTGAGGACGGAGAGGACCTGAGGAGCGCTCGCCCTCAGCTCCTCCAGCTGCTGGGGGGTGCGGGGGATGTGGGGAGGGGATGGCAGAGGTGGGATGATGACTGAAGTATGGAGGTCTGGGCCTGGGAGGGTGTGAGGTCCCGCGAAGCCGGAGTAATAGCAGCGTTGGCAGTGCAGGCAATACCCGATGCCCAGTGTTTTGCTAAATGGCCCTGTCCCCAAGACCACTCTCATACATGCTGCCTGGTGCCCATGCAGGTGGCGCTCAGGAGAGAAGGAGAGGGGGTGGTCAGAACGTCGAGGGAAGGCATTGTGTGTGAGTTCTGGCCGTGTTCACACAACGTTTCGGTTCTGTGCCTCACGACCAACGCCCGCTGTGTGCCAGGCACCGCCACGCCTGTGCGCCGGGCATCGCCACCTTTAACCTGCCGCCAGTCCCACGGGGCAGGCTGTCCCTGTCTCCGTTTTGCTGGCCAGAACACTGAAGCTTGGAGAGATTTAGCAATGTGTCCAAAGTCCCTCCACTGGCTTAAACTGCCCCCAAATGGCCGAATGGGTGTCCGAGCCAGGACTGAGGCGTGGGATACCAAGGTCTGAGCGCCCAGATTCTAGGGTGCGTTAACATCACCTAGGGCAGTGGTCGGCAAACTCAGGAGTCCACAGAGCCAACCATCAATAGTACGACTATTAAAATTTCTCTCGAGAGCCGAAAACGATTTCTGGTATTTTGTGGAAGAGCCACACTCAAGGGGCCAAAGAGCTGCATCTGGATCACGAGCCACAGTTTGCCGACCACTGGCCGAGGGTGCTCCAGGTCCCTGGACCTCGCTCTGACCCACGTCAGACCCTGCAGGGGCGGGTCAGGCCCCCTGTCCTCTGAGCTGCTCTCCGGGAACTCAGGTCTCGGTCCCCGGAGGTCTGGGTCCCGCTGCGTGTGCCGCCTCCAGGGATACGACCCGGGGACTCTCCATCCCTGGCGGCCTTGGCTTGGTCGACACCAAGAAAGAAAGGAATAGGTGAAGCCTTCACCTATTTTAAAACACTCCTGTTTCTTGGAGGGTTTACATTTTCAGGAGGTGACGATCCCAGAAAAAAAACCCATGCAGGTTGAAATGTCCGAATGGAAATCTAACGAACCACCTACCCTGCCCCTCCTCCACCCGACCCCCAAGTCTGTGAACGTGTTCCCTCTGCCCCGGGAGACCCTGCCATCCTCCTCCCTCCGGGGCGCCCCCACACTTTCCCACCCAGCTCTGGCTCTCGCCCTGTCAAGTGCAGAAGCAACTGGGGAAACTTGTTCCAAGCAGATTCCCAGGCTCCACCACGGGAGGCTCTGCGTGGCTGGGGCTGGCGGGAGGCCCGGGGATCTGAGTGTAACTAGGCCCGCAGGGGGCCCAGGAGCCACAGTGTGAGAAGCGCGGATGCTGGTTTCACCTGTCTGTCTCTCTCCGGGCGGCTGTGAGCAGCCTGGGGACGGAGCCTAGACTACACGCCTCGCACCTAGCGCACTGAACGGGTGACGGTGGCTGGCATGGACTGAGCGCTGCTTTTGCGCCTACTGTTACCGTTTTAAATACTCCGAGTGGATGCTTGCATTTCCCTCCCCCAGTAACTCTGGGAGGCAGGTGGCGCCATTGTCCCCACTTTACAGATGAAGAAACCGAGGCCCAGAGAGATTAGGCGTCTCGCCGATGAGGGGCGGAGCAGGGATTATGGATGGACACATGGATGGATGGGTAAGAGAAGTGGTGATGTCACAGGTGAGCTGGAGGTTACGTGTTCACAGAGCCATCCCGAGCTGTGCTGGGTGCTGAGAGCCTTAACAAGCGTGAGATGGGGGCTCAGGCAGTGGGGGGAGGGGCAGGAGCCGGCTGGTCCATACCTTGCAGCCCTCACAAGTGATGCAGCGGTAGTGATAACCGGTTGCCTTGTCCCCACACACGACACACTGCTCGTCTTTGTCCAGGTAACTAGGGATATACCCTGGGAGGGAGGAAGGGAGGCAGGCAGGCAGGCATGGCTGGGGCCCCTTACACTCTCTGCGTTCCCCGGCTTTCCTTCCCTGGCCAGTCCCCTAGCCCAGCCTCCCTGGAGGGCAGGATCCTGGAGACACATCGGAGGTTATCTCCTCCATCCCCTTCCCTGAGAACATGGAGAATCCGGAGTTCTCCTGTTTGCCCACTCAGGGCCTTTCTCTCGCTGCGCCCCAGGGGTGAGGGGGGCAGGAGAAGCAGCAGCCAATGTCAGCAGCTCATCTCAGGGGGAATACAGCCCCTCAGGCTCTGATTTTTGGGGTCGGGGTCTCAGGCAAGAGGGTTATGGGAGAAGGGAGGAGGTCCCCTCTGGCCTAGTCCATCTTCAAGGCGGGGGCATGCCCACGTCACCCTTCTCACCTGCAGCAAGTCCATCCCAAGCCCTCTTGAGGCTCTCCCCGTGGGCCACAGCAGCGGCGGGCACACGCCAGGCTCCAGAAGAGCCTGGTCTGGCTCGGCGGCGTTCGGGGCCGGGAGGGAGGGCGCACACAGCCGGGCTCACCTGACATGCTGGTTTTCAGGGGACATTGGCCGTTCTTTCTTTTTCGCTTTCCATCTGGCGACCTGGCACTGCACGGGGGCAAAGTGGGCAGAGTCACAGAGCAGCCTGTGGGCGGGCAGCCCCCTTCTCCTCCAACAGGCTCAGATACCCCCCCCCCAGGCCCGCCTCCCTGCCCCTCATGTCCTCATCCTACCTCCCACCCCTCCGTCAGCTGACAAAGCTGACAAGGGTCCAGCTATCTAGAAGCTTCAGAGAGCGATAAGGGGCTTGGCTGGGGCACACACACACACACACACACAGCATTATAGAACTGTAAGCACCCACAATCTAAAATACCCACATATTGAAGCCTTCAAGTGCACGAGACATGAAGAAAGAATCTACAGGACATGCTTAGAGTTATATAACCTTGAGAACACACACACACACCCCTATGCAACACAAGACCACTAGCTATGAGTCACGATGCAGCCCCCAGGATAAGGCCACGCATGGTAAGCAAGCGCCAGGATCTACATAACTACCCAGTTTTCAGGGCGTTCTCAAGTGTGTTACATGACCTCTAGGATATGCCCACGTGCTACACTGCACTCTGGACAGACTCCCAATCACACTCCTCCCTCCTCACAACAGTAAACATGTCGCTGGATTTCCAGGTCACACACACGCATGCCCCCTAACCACAGCGACGGAACACAGGGAGTACCCGACGCCCGAAACCCGCAACCAAGAACGTGAGAAGGCGAAAGGCCTTCCGGAGCCACCCTGCCCCCTCAGCTCTTTCCACAGAGCGGCAGACGGGGGCCCCCTCGGGTGCTTGGTGACCCTGAGCACTGACATCAGCCGGGACAAGGACCCCGAGCCCTGCCATGCAAGGTGTTAGCAACCCACAGCCCCTGCACACACGTCCCCAGCCTCTCCACATACGTGTTACATAACCTCTGCGCACACGGGTTACATAAGCCTTGCACATGCACGCACGGATTGTATAACCTCCCACACCCACACCCGCTCTCCTCCGTGTGGCGTGTGGCGTGGCCCCTCCCCTGATGCGGCTCCCAACATACTGACACAGTGACCTTGGTCAGGGTCATAGTCAGAGACAGCTCTGCGCGCCACGCTCCCTGGAGACGACCCCTGTCTGATTGCTAGTGTTTGGAAGGTCAGATCTCCCTCTCTCCCACCTCCAAGCCTCAGGAGGGGAGGGTGTCGGGGAACTCTGGCCACCTAGGGCCCAGTTGAGCGCCCGGATTTTCAACAATTATTAGATTTAGAGCCTCTGGGTGCAGTCCCAGGGACAGCCGCCAGGTGGCGCAGGGACGTGGGGGAGGGGAGGATAACGGGTAGGGGTGCAGCTCTGGGGGCCGGGGAACCGGGATTCCAGCCTTTCCCTGCTCAGAAGCAGACTCTTCCAGATTCACGAGGTCTGGGCCGGGAAGTACAGAGGCTGCCAGTGAGAGCTACGCAATGACACGGACACGCCCGATCTTTTTCAGAGTCTTCCCTCTCCCCGCCCCCCCCACTTCCCCGCCCTGGGGTGAGTCTTTCGGGAGGGGAAACTCTAGGTGCCCTACCCAACGGACAGCCCCATCCACCCGCACCCCCCCACCCCTCCAGAGACCCAGTCTTGGGCCCCAGGGCTTTGCCTGGCCAGGCTTCTGGCCTCCTGGCTCAGAATCTGGTCTCCTAGGCAACGGCCACTCTGCTCCCCAGAACAACCCATCCCCCACGCGCTCCCTGGCCATCGACACAGGCTGTACCCAGCTCCAGGGGCACCACGCCAACTGGCACAAAGTTCTGTGCCACTCGGAGCTGATGGGAGAGGCAGAGACCCTCTGGGCTCCCTCAAGGGTACGGCAGATCACGGGGAGCCATTCCCAGCAGCCTGTGTGGGGCTCATGCCTCCTCCACCGGTAAGCAAAACCCTCACCGTTGGCATCCACTTCCACTTCCTGGGAGGAGCCCCACGGCAGCCTGCGCCCGCCCTTGCCCATGAACAAGGAAGAGCTTGTGGGGCTCCCAAAAGGTTCCAAATATAAGCTCGGGCTGACGAGAGCGCCTGGTGTGCGCGCCCCGGTCGGTCTGTCACGTCACGTGCACCACGGCTTGTGGGCTGCACGCGGGGGGCGATGTGGACAGGCTGGCAGGGAGAGGAGGCAAATGGCGAGACTGTTTGCATTCCACACGCTCAGGGGAGGGCGGCTGAGGGGGCACGGGGGGCGGGTGAGCATGTGAGCCTGCCCAGTACTGCCCAGGGAGGGGCCATGTGCCTGCTCCTCGTCACTTCCCCACGCCCAAATGGGCATCTCTCCTCCAGGTGCCCGATTCTCGTCACACGTGGACATGACCTCACCTCCTGGGCAAAGGTAGGCAGCGGCAGGCTTGCCGGCCTCGCGTCCATTCCCCCAAGGCCCAAGCTCAGCTCGCTTTTGCCCAACCAGGTGACCGTGCCTGCCGGCTAAGAGTTGGCGAGAACTAGCTGCCGGACCCATTACCTGTTCTCCTCTGGGTCGGACCCACACTCCACCTTGCTTGGCTTCTGTTCCATTCACTTTAATTCCATCCAGGATGCCCTCCAGCACGCCAAGAGACTGGGTGGGCACAACGGCCCCCCCGGCACACCCACAGACTGCCCACCCCCTGCCACCCAGGCCTAGGGCACAGCACCCATGGTGCCCGCCTCAGCACGTGGCCTCTCACACCATGCCCTGCGCCCCAGGGGGGTGGGCGGTGAGAAAGGCCAGGGAGTGGCAGGTGGTAGTGTTGGGGTGGGGGGGAGCTGGGTCCGTCGGGGAGTCCTGGGCTCGGGGAGTAGCTTCGGAGTCCTGTCCTGGCGAGGTCCCTGCAGAGAGAGGAGAGAGGCAGGGATGAGGTGGCACCGCGGTGGAAAGCAGGCCTTTGGTGGCATCATGTTGAGGCTCTTTGAGCTCACAACAAGATGGCGGTGGGCATGGAGGGCAGGCACGGGGGGGGGGGGGGAGACAGAAGCAGGAGAACCCTTCCAACGGACCAGTTTTAGCCGGCAAAACTGGAGATCCATGTCCTAAGCCCCAGACACGGAAAGGGGTGGAGGGAAAGAATGAGATCATCCATGTACCATGTCTCAGTCCTCGCATTCAATCAAGTATCTGGCCCCTAACAATGTCTAGTAAATGCTCTTGTTACCACGCATCTAGCCAAGTTTTCATAAAACTCACCATAGTACAGGGCGCGAGGGGGCCAGAGATGAGCGGTGTTCAGCCGGGGCGTGGAGTGGGGGGGGACTAGGGAAGGGAGATGGGGTGTGGGAAGGGGGGCGGGAATGGAGAGAGACACTGAAGACCGTGGTGGGGGGCGCTGACCTCCCCTGCTGCTGGCCAGCTTGTGACTCCAACCCGGCCCCCCAAGGACCCCAGAGCTGCCCAGAGAAGCTGCCAAATCACACGGCCCAGACTGAGGCCCAGACACCCCTGAGGTTGAACCGCCCTCCACAGGGATGGCAAGGGGAAAGGACAGGAAACGAACACGCGTCAACGTCACAGACGGGGAAACTGAGTCTCAGAAGTCACCGAGCCGGTGAGCAGGTGGCTCCGGGGTTAACCCCTCGACGCCTGGCTTCAGTGCCCGTCTTGTCCCCAGCCCCGGGGGCCGGGGCCGTGCCCGTCCGGGCCCACCGTTCCCTCCACGGGCGCCTCTGACCGCAGGCTCCCGACCCGAGGCTCCCGTCTGCGCACACGGGCAGGCGTGGGCATTCCCGAGGGGGACAATGGGTGCAGCTCCCAACACACAACCAACCTCCCTCCAGCGGAGACCTCGCCCCTGGGCCCTCTGCCCCACCCCGGGGAGCTGATAAGGAGCCAGAGGAGGAGGGGAAGGGGAGATAAGTCAGCCCACTGGGCAGGGTGGGGGCCAGGGCCCCTGCCCCCAGGTGAGCCCTCGGTGTGGGGAGCGTGGCAGGAGGACGGAAGGGTGGCCCCTTCTGCCTCGGATTCCCCCCCCCCCCAGACCGGGACTGGGCACTGGGGGCTGGACAGGAGACGGGGGACCGGGTGGGGGGGCGGGGTGAGCGGGGAGCTTGAGCCCAGAGAGCCGTCAAGAAAGTAGGTCAAGTTTTTCTTGGCTTGTGGAGAAATTCCTGTTATAAATTTATAATGGCGTAGCCAGCCCTGAGGGGTGGAGGTGGGGGGAGCGGCAGGAGTGGGTGGGGATGCCCAGGGCCTGGGCGCTGGGGCCTGCTGCTCTCGGCCTGGGCAGGGAGGGTAAGGGGCCGGGGCAGGGGTGGGGTGGGGCTGGACAATAGGGGGCTATTTTCTGCCGCCCGTTTCCATGTCTGTGCCCAACAAGGCTTCCTTGGGTCTGTCTGTCTGCATCTGAATGTCTCTCTCTCTCTCCCCTCTCTCTCTCCGGGTGTCTCCCCATCTCCTCCCCCCCCCCCCCGGGCTGTGCCTCGGTGCTTGGCACACCCTGGCTGCAGTGCTGCCCCCGCCTGTCTCCTGCCCACCTGGCACGCTGCCACCACTTGTTTACAGAGGCTGGAAAAATCCACTCGCCAGCAGGAGGCCCGAGTGCCCCTGGGGAGGGGAGGAGGCGGGCGCAGGAGTGGGCATGCCGAGAGGGGGGCAGCCCCGGGGAGCAGGCCCCGGGGGCAGGCCGAGAAGAGGGCTGGGGTGGGTGTGCGCAGCTGCGGGCCAGGCCTGGCGGGGAACACCGGCAGCGGCGGCAGCCACATGCCACAGGCCATACCTGCCCCCGGGCCGTGGCTCTGGGGGACCCCTCCTCCCTCACCCCTGCCGCTGCCAGTTGCTACAGGGCACACCTGGGGCAGTGCCAGCCTAAGCCTCCATGTTTGTTTTCCCTTCCCCCTCCCCGGCCCAGCCTCCGCTCCACATGTGTCTGGGCACTGCCAAGGGCTTGCACGTGCCCGTGGCGGGAGGGAAACCTCCCTCCGGGCCTCAGCTCCGTGCTGTGCCGAAGGGTGCCCCGGTGCCCGCACTGCACCCCTGGCAGTGGGCAGAGGGGAAAGACACTGTCCTCACGGCTGCAGGCACCTGGGCCTCTAGCGAGAAGCTGGGGGTTCCTGGCCATGTCTCCAGGGACACACCTGGGTCTCTGAGATGACACAGGGCCCAGCATGCAGAGAGGCACATGCCAGGGTCCATGCCACGCGAGCCTGAGCTAGCTGTGGGCAGAGAAGGGTCAGGGGGAAGGGGGATGGGGCAGGGGTACCCACCCTGGAGGGCACCCCTCTCCCTTCCTCCTGAAGTCCTTTTTTCTTTTTCTTTTTTTCTTTTTCTAACTTGGAGTCTTGCCTCATCCCCCCCAGCTCCTCCCTGGCACCCAGGCTCGGTCCCAGGAGGCGGAGGGGGTGGAGCTGTGGGGGTCTGAGTCCTGGCTGGACAGCCGGACAGCAAGGCCCACCTGCCGGCCGGCCTGGCCACCCCCTCCCTTTGTCAGATAAGCACTGCCTGCCGGTGGCGGCGTGGGCACGGTGCCCGTGGAGGGGGAAGCGTTTCATTAAGGCTGAGTGCCTCTGCCATGGGGGGACCCAGCGCCCGGGGCGGCGTCCGCAGGCGCCATGGCAGGCTCCCGCTGCCGGGCGGTCCCCTCCGCAGACTGCGGGCCCAGGCCTCTCCCAGCGGCCTCCCCGGCAGCCGGAGGGCACCCCGACTCCGCACACAGGGCTGCCCCGGTGTCTGCTCTGGGCGCTGGCCCCACCTGCCTGGGGCCCCTAAACTTTGTCCCGAATGCTCTGAAGGAAGCCCAGCCCTCCTCCCTGCCAACCACAGAGGGAGAGGCACCTTCCCAGGGGGGGCGCAGGGGAGGGGAGGAGGAGGAGGAAGGCTGGGGTGACAGCGATGATGGGGGCGAGGGGGCGAAGGACGAGGGGACGCAGGAACAAAGAGCGAGTGGAGCAGGGACGGGGCAGAGGGGGACGCGTAGCAAGTGCAGGGGGGGGGAGGAAGAAAGGCGGCGGTGAGAGGGGGTGGGGGATGGGGAGGGAGGGAGGGAGGGGGAGGGGGCGAGGTAGAGAGGAGGACAGATAGGGGGAGGGGAGACAAGTGGAGGGGGAGACAAAGGAAGAAAGGTAACAAAGAAAGATGGGGGGGGGCGTTGATGCATGCCCTGCCTAAGCCCCACCCCACGGGGGCTGGGGGAGGGGGAGTGGAAATGGTTTCCACGGCGACAGCTGGTTCTTGGTGGCCTGGCATGTGGGCTATTAATAGTGCCGAGGGCAGGTTCGCACCTCCCGCTCCCCTTCCCCTTTGCCTGCTGCTAGGGTGGGGGGACACACTACCCCCCTCCTAACGATCTGGCGATGATGGGCTGACCCCACAGCACCGCAGCCAAGCGGGGTGATGCTAGGGGCCCAGGTGGCTACCAAACCCAAACATACACACAGGCATGCACAGGCACACACAGGCATCCGTGTGCAGACACCGCCGCCCCTGCCCGCGTGGGCTCCGTGGGCGGCCACGGGCACCTGCAGTCGGGGGGGGGGGGAGGTCCGGCGCAGGGGAGGGGTAGATGCCCCTGGGGGCGGGGCCTCGTTTTCCTTCCCCAGGTCCCCCTGTTCTGCTCTCAGGTATGCACTGAGCAGGACGGCCCCACCCAGCGCACTGCTATCCGTGCCAGGAAGGAGAGGAGGGAAGGCGGGGAGGAAGCTACTGCTTGGCAGGTGTGAGATGGCAGAGGAGTGCAGAGACACAGGCACCGGCTTGGCAAGCGGGAGAGAGGGCCGGAGGGAGGGAGGGAGGGAAGGAGAGAAGGAAGGGAAGGAGAGAGGGAAGCCCAGGAGGCAGCACTGCTGGGTGGGCCCCCTCTGGGCACCCATAAGATGGGGTTCTGGACCCTAAAGGCAGTGGCCCTTAAGTCCGATCTCCCAGCCACTGTGGGACCCTGGAGGCCAGAGAATGGGAAAGGGGGTGGAGGGGACTGGACCAACAAAGGATCCTGTCCCCCCAAAGAATGGGACAGGAAACTCCCCCCTGCGGGTCAGAGACAGAGGACATAAACAGCAGCCCTGGCTTGGGCCAGATGCCCAGTATTCACATCAAAGACCGCTCCCCCCAGCACGGCCTCACCCACCTGCCGCTCCACCCTCCTCCCCTCGCCCAACGGCTCCAGCCAGGCAGCAAGGTGGGAAACCAGGTCTAGAGGTCAGCCCCACCCCCAGGCCCAGCCCTGGCCTGCCGATCCCTGGAACTTTGTGTCCCCTGACCCAGTTCCCCTTGGGAACGGATGTGGGAAATGCAAGTCACCCAGAAATCAGAGCTAGGAGCACCCCCAGCTGGGCAGGGCACCTCTCCCCACCCTCCCCCCCGCGGCCAGGCCAGGGGTAATTGGAGCTGGGCGCTGGGGCAGCTGAAGGCTGGAGGCATGAGTGTCACGGGGCCACGGCGCTCCCTGGCACCGCGGGCACAGGCTCGGGGTCCTCCCTTCCCCGCTCCCCTTTCCAGGGAGGGAGGAAGAGGCTGGGAAGGGAACTGCCACCCAGCCCCGGGCCGCCCGCCCGCCCGCTGCCCGCCCGGGAGGGAAGGAAATGGTGGAAGGGAAAGGCAGGGATGTTCT